ATTCGACGTACCTTCCAATTCCAATTTGACGGTGAAGGATCGAGAAATCAAATAGGGTGGCGAATATAAGCCCGACCGGAGTAAAAACAGAAGTGAAGATAGGTCCTCTCTTTCTGATACACCAAGAAGTTCCCACGGTACATATTCCTTGTGCTACCGCTCCCTACAACAAGTTGTAATATATAGTTTGTTTTAATAGCAAATATTTTACTAGGAAATGATTTTAAATAAATTAGTACAGAGATATATTAAAAGCCATCTTTTTAACAATAAGAAAAAAAAAAGGAAAACTTACTGCATAAACAACGGTCATGATATCGAATTTATCAGTGAGGATCCAAGTCGAGATATCTCTAGATTTGATGAGGCTTAAAAGGGCGCATTGGATGGTACCAAAGAAGGATAATACAACAGTACTTGAGTATTGACAAGGGTATTTATCATTCACTTTGGATTGTATTAGCATCCAAGACCCGAAACAACTACTACCGGCGAAGAGAAGCACGCATCCGATGATCCAGTTCTCGGGTTTCATTGAGGATTTTTTGTTGATCGATGAATGAGTTTCTAGTTTGTGAAGTTTTGTCAAGGGAACACCTTTGTACATTGTGAGTAATAAAGCTCCTCCTATGCATATCAAAGTGCCCATCACCATCCCCATAACTGCTTTGCTTTTCATGTTTAGCTTCTCTACCCTACAAACAAAGCAATTGGTTAACTGTTAACATTTTAATTTGTTACGTTAGGTTATAATCGAACAATTAGACATTTAATTTACCTGAATATCAGAGCCATAACGAATGTAATCGCAGGTGTCATGCTAATAAAGGCACATGCTAACGTAGCCGATGTGTACGATAGCCCAAGTAGGAAGAAATACTGAGTCAAACTTGCCCTAAAATATATTTAAAAAAAATAACATGAAATCTAATAGAAGAAAATATCTTACTTAGACTATATAAATACAACTATTCAGAGTTTATCGGCGCAAATTAAAAAGAAAGAACAAACCCAACAAGGGCACTGAAGAAAAGCTGAACCAAGATGTTGAACGTAAGTTTTGGTCTTGTTCTCCTAAGAAACAAATAATGAAATGATGTTCATCGTTAATCATTACAAAAACATACATGAGTCACAAAATTAACGAATATTTAATATTACTTACCGTTCCCAGAAATATGCGATTGGTGCCAAACATACGGTGGAAATTGCGAGACGGTACGTTGCAATAACCATATGGTTAACACCACCATCGAGTACTTTTTTAACCAAAGCATTAGCTAAACCGAGCGCAGAATTAATCATAACCATAATAATTACCGGCGTCCATTTACCATCACAG